TTAACCCCCCTCTGGTGATTGAAATCTAGCAAGTTCTTTGCAGGAGAAAGATGGGAAGTCTCCTTCACTGTGTTTACAGTACCCCTAAAACTCACTGGAGTATCAGTTAGGAGTTGGAACTGACTGATTCAATGTCAATGAAAGAGAGAGGTACATATTACTACATGGACTGACCTAAATCAGTCCTAAAAGGCTATTTAATTTCTGTAAAATTATTGAATTTCTGCAAAATATCCAAAATTGGAAAACCCATACTGCTAGAAAGTGTTTGCCAGAGGCTTGATTGAGGGAGACATTAGAAGTAATAACTAAAATGAATAGGACTTCTTTTTTTAGTCATAAAAATAATGAGAACAACCTGGAGCAAAGGGTATATTGTGGGGTGGGCTGAGGGAAGGAGAAAAAGTGGATGAGAAAATGTGCACCAATGAATAAATTTTAAAAATTAAAAGCTACTCAATTTTTTTCTTACTTTATTATGATTATTATCAAGCTACTCAATTTTTAAAAAAATAAATGTACTCTAAAATTAGACCGTGCTTATAACTGCACAATTTAACAAATGTAGTAAACAGTGAATTGGGAAAGTTAAATTAGTGCATTTGTGGTATGAAATTGTAATCCAACAAATCTGTTACTTACTATGTGATAATTCCCTGAAACAAAATTTTCATATTGTTACTGTATGTCATTGGGTTGGAGCCAATACATAGTGGGTTTTCAGAGATGTAAATCACACATATTTCTCCAACAGAGAAGCTGGTGGGTTTGAAACCATCATTACTATTAGGCTACCAAATCCCCCTAAAATTTATACAGCAATTGCTATATTCATAACAAATAAGTGAATGCACCTATTGCCTCAACTCATTATATTAGTTGATTTGGTTTTTGAACACGTATCTGTAGTTCATTTTACATCCATTTAACATTTATTCTGGTTATTGTCAGAATGTTTCAAGTTAAATATTCTGAATGAATAAAAATGGAACAAAATGTAATTTCAAATTAAAATATAAAGCTCTGTGTCACATTGCTTGGATTTTCTATTGACTTCTTTTTAAAAAATCAACCTTGCGTTAACTTCTCAGACTGTAATATGAACAAAACTCACCAGGAGTTTTTGTTAAACTGTTTTTATATTTTAGTAATGTTGCATAAAGACTAAAAATCATTGCCATGGGGTCTGAATCAACACATAGTTGTTCCTCCAGCAGGCTTCCAAGGCTATACATATCATAGGAGAAGATTGCCCACCTTTCTCCCATGAAACCGCTGGTGGATTTGAACTGCCAGAGAGCTTTTGGGTTAACAGTGCAACTCCTTATGGACCAGAAATTCTGCATTTCAGCTTCCATTTGATGCAGTTGCTCTTCATTCACATAACACATTTAGACACCCTGTAAGGATGGTCATTCTCCTCTTGTGCCATTAACTGCCTCAGAAAACCCACCACAGGTTCAGCTGTGGATTGATTCCAACTTGATGATACACAGCAACAACAACAAAAAGGTGGTGGTACAGTGGCAGGAGCTTGACAACAGCTCAGGGTTTAAAACACAGGAAATTTTGGAAGGAGATATTTGAGAAGAACCCACACTTTTCCCTTTTCCCTCTTGCCAACATTTTTCTGCAGAAGTGTGCCATTTTACTCTAACTGACAGCCAGGTTTCAGCAGCAACAGCCAAACTGAATGATGCTTGACAAATAATATCAAAGTTATTCCAAAGCTGTGACAAGTTCAACAAACTTAAGCACATTTAGTTTCTGCATGGGGAGATAGAAACCTGTAAAGAGCTTTAAAAACAAAACAACAAGACAAAACCGTATAAAGAACTTTGTTTCAATAGAGATACCATTTGACCCAGCAATTCCACTACTGGGAATATACCCCAAAGAGACCATAACCGACATCCAAGCAGATATATGCACATCCATGTTTATCGCGGCTTTGTTCACAGTAGCAAGGAGTTGGAAACAACCTAAGTGCCCATCAACAAATGAATAGATAGAGAAACTCTGATATATTCACACAATGGAATACTATGCTGCATTGAAAAACAAGGAACTCATGCAATATTGTTCAAAATGGGTGATCCTGGAGGACATTAGGCTGAGTGAAATATCTCAGTCACAAAAGGACAAATACTGTATGGTGCCACTGTTGTAGAATGAGGCTGACATCACGGTGGGGGTAAGACTGAGAAAAACTGGATAAATTATGTATACTGCATTGAAGCCGATGAGGGAGAGAACAGTTTAAAAGTAATATATTTTAGGGCATTATGATTATAATAAGAGTTCGGAATGAGGGTTGCAGAGTAGAGTACACTCGGGTTGGGGATGGGGGGTGCGGGGGAGATTGTATACCGTTGAAGGAGTTTTTACTTTTGCTTTTCAAGGAGAAGAGTGAACTGGGGGGGGGAGCAGGGAGAAAAGTGCAACAATGAATGAATGGAAATCCAAAATCTCTGTAAATGTTCATTAAAATTAATAAAAACAAAGAGCTTTATTTCACCCCTTACAACAATTAAAAAATAAAACCTATCAAGTGCCAAATTCTCATCTTCTCTTGACTTCCACCAGGAAACTGGAATTATAGAGTAGTAACAAAGTGACTCCAAATCTAAGTAGTGGCAGGTGCTTACAGTAAAAACTAAAATGCTAGCTGTGGTTTACTTCAGTAAATACAACTGGAACCTAGGAAAATGATGTAGAAGATGGCAAGTATATATTAGCCAAGGATTATGAAACTTTGTGGGTCATAGCCATAATGGAAGCTTGCATCCTATTGTGAGTATTTTTCTTTTTGTCCGAAGACCTCAGAAGTCCTTCAATGGAATGGTTAGTCTTGAAAAATTGTCCCTTATGGTACCTACCTGTAGGACGGACAATTGATTCACCCGAATTCCCATGTCTCCAATGGAATATGAACATTACTCTATACAGAGAAAGGAAAAAAAAAACAACCAACCAACAAACCCCTGTCACTCTTAAGGACTCTGTTGAAAATTTATTACAAATGCAAAATAACTAGTGCACATGTAATTGCAGTCTCCTCCCATGCTTGTGAATACTCACTGGAGTGTCAGCTATATGTCAGTTCCAACTTGATGGTACAAAGCAACAGTTGAGAAAGGGAACTCTAGTGGCCTAGTGGTAAGAAGCTACATAATTAGGTATTATTGTCATGACAGAGTCCAGAACAAAGGCTGAATAATGGAGTGGACCTGGGGGGAAGGATTGTAAAACAATGAAAGAATTTTTCAACAACAGCATGTAGTTGAGAGGATGATTAGTCTCTGTGCCTTCTGCCTAGGGCATCTTAGCAGAGGGATTGGACTCAGAACATTCAGTGATAATACTGGGAATTGAATTTCTCTTGCCTAATTGCTTTAGCTTATCAGTGAAACCCTCCTCAGTGTTCTAGGCACACAGTAAATTTTAGACCCTTGCATGAGATTGGGACACCAAATGGCACCATGTCAACCCAACTTCTATATGTATTTCCAAAGGGGAGGGAATGTGGCACTGAGCCATTTTCCTACGTCAGCTGTGAAGAATAATGTGCTAGCCTGGTCACAGGTGTTTGAGATTGAAGTTGATCTTTTTGTATAAATTATAAAATATGTGTTTGAATGTATATTTGTGTTTGTGTGTGTGCATGTGTACAACAATGATTGCTGCTCCTTGAAAAGAGGCTGAATAAGGACATGGTTGTCAGGTAGAAAATCCTCAGGAATCTTCAAATAAACTTTTGGACTACTACATGTGTTTATCAAGGTTAAAGAGTATTTAATCAAAACCCAAAACAAATCTGCTTCTAGATACAAGCAGTTAACAGTAATTTTTTTAAAATCACTTGCAATAGGACTAAAAATGAAATACTTAAGTATAACTCTAACAAAATATGCTTAAGATAAAAAAAAATTAAAAATCTAAAACATTGACAAACAGAAACAGGCAAAAACTAAATGGAAAGTTGTGACACAACTGTTTTAATACGCAGAATACATAAAGTTTCAGAAGTCAGCAAGGAAATAAACAACCGGATTTTTAACAAATGGTCAAAAATCTGAACATCTGGAACTAGAAGTTCCCCAAAGAAGATAAAGGAATGGGAAATGAACATCTGAAAATTTGTTCAATGAAGTGACTATATGATCCACCACTCATATTCTTAGCTATATACTCAAGAAAAAAAAGATCATAAAAATAGAAATTTGTTCATGTTTTATAGCAGCCTTATTTATAATCGATCAAACTAAAAATAACTCAAATACTCTTCAACAAATAAATGGATAAATATTCCGTGGCACATTCAGATAAAACACTATATTCATCAATAAAAAATTAGAAAATTTCACTTGTTCGTTTTCAAGGTTGCAAACATTTATGCAATGGAAAATTCCTTTTATTATTTCTTGTATTATATTTTCATAGGTCAAACAACCCTGTTTTTCATAAGTCATAAGTTTCAACCTCCTACAGACACTTATCCTACATGTTGGAAATGTTCCGCAACAAAGAAGGAAACTAACACTCTTTAGAGCCTCAAGTAACCGTCTGTCTGTTGAGGTTCTTACAGTGTTGATTGGCATTGATGAAATGTTTTCATTCCAAGGCACTCAATTGTTGTTGTTATGTGCTGTGGAGTCACTTCCAACTCTTCATACCCTATGTACAACAATCTTAAACCCTGCTCTGTCCTGTGCCAACCTTATTGTCTCTGACACAGAGTGAGTAATTTTTTAAGTACTGTAAATATCTTCTATTTTCACATGATAGTATAATTTTAATGATATTTTAATTAGAAGAGAGAATATGGTGCTTAGTTACATACAATGCATTGCAGACAATTTTCATGATATTGAACTCCCTAAGGTTTTGCATTTTTTACTGTTTAAAATTTATTTTCATTTCCAAACAAATATGCTTTTTTTTCCCAAAGGTGAGATAAATTTATGTCTAACCATTACTCTCCCTCCTATTTTGAACAGGTGGAATTCCTTCTAAGAAATGGATAACAAATTTTGACAAAGACCTTTCAGATGGCCTTGTTTTGGCATCACAGATAGCAACCTATTGCCCATATTGGGTAAGAATAATTTTCTCTTGCGTTTTGTTAGTTGTACGAATTTATAATTACAATTTTTAAATTTTTTTATAATTACAATTTTAAGTAGATTTTCTATAAAATTATTATTCCAAATTTCTTAATTTAAGTCTGTTATCTGAATCTGATTAGCATTGCTTTGCTGTTTATTGTTGTATTTTGTATACAATAATCTACTGCTACCAAACATTATAATTTAAAGATTCTTTGCTAAAATATAAAGAGAACACACACACACACACACACACACACACACACACCCACACCCCAATTATACTTACTTTACTAAAATGCTTATGATTCTTTTTTCCCCAGATTGAATCTCACTTTGCATATATGTATACACAACCGAAGATTCCTGATCAGTATCGGAACAATTCTCTTATTGTTGTTAATGTTCTTCGTGAAATTGGATTTAACATGAACATTCAAGTAGGTGTATTTATATCATGCATTCTATAAGCGTGTGAATGTATTTCCTCTGTTAGTTTACTTCTTCATAATGGTACTATCTTCAGATATTTTAAGTTTGAATTCTAAGAAATTTTTATGGGATATTGCTGAAATATAGAAACTGAAACATGGCTTTGTGCAGATCTTCTGGATTTTTAAAAAGTAAAAATCTTCCTGGGAATATTAAGAATATTAAGTAATCCTAATGAGAGGTTTAAGTGTCAAACAAAAATGAAATTTGAATGTTCTGTCAATATTTTTCAGTTCTAAAAGATAATTAAAGAACTATAATTATACACATATGTAATTTTTCTAATTTAGTAGCAAAAATTAAAATGTTTTCAGTGCAATATTAAAAGTATATGTGTATGAAAGAAAGTATATATGAGTAATTTGAATGGTAACATACATTTTTATTACATTTGGAACTTCCAGATACAAATATATTTCTAGATCATAAAGTATGTTGCTTATGTTTACTATTTTTGAACCCATTCCTATTTTGGAAAAATATGATTTAATAAATAATTTCTGATTTTGAACAATATAAAAATTTATTGAATTATCATGATGTTTGCATGTTAAAACAGAGATATTGTTTTAATCACTAATGTAGGTGTCAAATAGGTATACAAAAGACTAGTGTAGAATTGAGATGAGGGTACAGATTGTGATCTACTGAAGATTTTTTTGGAGAGATGAGACTATTTGGGGTGTTGTAGGGTAGAAATTTCAAAAGAAACTCAAATGAAAGATTTTTGGCTTGAGAAAAAAAATGGCCACATAACAATTCAACCATTCCCATTAATTCCACAGGTAGGGGTGTGTGTGTGTGTGTGTGTGTGTGTGTGTGTGTGTGTGTGTGTGTGTGTTTACAGTATTCTTCATTCATATTGTTTAATACAGTCATTCACATGTATTATGTTTTATGAAATTGTTCACCATTGGATTTTGCCCTGTCTTTTCACCCCAATTCTTCCCATTTCCTTCCCCCACTCCCTCCACCCACCAAACTGTGTTACCGTGTGGTTTCACCCCTACGCATCCTTACCCCTCCATTCTCACTCCTTCAGCCCTTGAGCTCTCATGATTTTCTAGTTATCCTTCTATTTTTACAATAATGGTCTTACACAATATTTGTCCTTATTATACTGTTAGTTCACTCAGCATAATGCTCTCCAGTCTCTTCCAAGTTATGTAGTATTTTTTAAAATTGTTGCTTCTGAGTGCTTCATAGTATTCTGTTGTGTGAATGTACCACAATTTATTAATTTATTCGGTTGTGGCAGGGCATTTGAGCTGTATCCATGTCCTTGCGATGGTGAATAACGCTGCTATGAACATTGGTGTACAAATCTTTCTTTGTGTCTTCTCCCTTCTAATTTCCTTGGGATATATTCCTAGTAGTAGAGTAGTTAAGCCATACTGAGTTTCTATGTTCAATTCTTTCTCTCTCTCTTTTCTTTTCAATTAGTTTATTTACAAAATTTGAATACAAATTTGAGCAAATTCTTTCAATTTCCCTCACCCCCGAACCCACCAAATATTCAACCCCATGATTAATCCCCCGTCCCTCACACACATCCACATCCTTCTGCTTCCACCCTCTCCCAGCCCTCTTGGATCCTAATACTCATTCTACAATAATGGTTTTATACAGTATTTATCTTTGTGGGACTGAATTAGTTCACACAGCATAGTGTTCTGCAGTCCCTTCCCAATTAGGTAATAATTAACAAAATCATTCCTCTTGCCTGCTGCATAGTATTACATTGTGTGAATATACCATAATTTCTCTGTCTATTCATTTGTGGTTGGACATTTGTGCTGTTTTTATCATTTTTTTAAAAGTCTGCATTTGTATTTTTTTAAATTAATTTACATAAAAGTTTACGGAGACTTTGGGTTTCCATTCATTCTTTGTTGCACTTTTCTCCCTGATCACCCCCTCCCCAGTTCGATCTTCTCTTTGAAAAGAAAAATTCTTTCATTGTTATACAATGACCTCCACTCAAGTCCACTCCACTATGCAGCCTTCACTCCGTACTCCTGTCATGACAATAATACCTAATCCTATATACTTTTTAAACAGTTCTTTCCCTCATCTGTTTGAAAGCAGTATACATTATTTAACCCCTCTTAAGTGCCTCCAACCCTGATGTTAGTCCCGTTCTACAACAGTGGCATTATGCAGTCCTTGTCCTTTTGTGAATAAGATATTTCACTCAGCATAATGTCCTCCAGAGTCACCCATTTTGTATAATATTTCATGAGTTCCTTGTTTTTCAATGCAGCATACTATTCCATTGTGTGGGTATTCCACAGTTTCTCTATCCATTCATTTATTGATGGACACTTGGGTTGTTTGCAACTCTTTGCTACTGTGAACAAAGCCACAATAAACAAGGGTGTACATATATCTGCTTGAGTGGCAGTTATGGTTTCTTTAGGGCATATTCCCAGTAGTGGAATTGCTGGGTCAAATACTATTTCTATTTGCAACTTTTTGAGAAAGCACCATAATGACTTCCATAGTGGGTGCACAATTTTACACTCCCACTAACAGTGAATAAGGGTTCCAGTTTCTCTACAACCTCGCCAGCATTTGTTGTTTGTTGCTCTGTTGAATTTTGCTACTTTTACTAGGGTGAGATGATATCTCATAGTTGTTTTGATTTGCATCTCTCTTAGGGCTAGAGATTTTGAGCACTTCTTCATGTGTTTGTTCGCCACCTGAATGTCTTCTTTAATGAAGTGTCTGTTCATATCCTGTGCCCATTTTTCAACTGGATTGTTTATATTGTTGTGGTGCTCAAGTATTCTATAAATTCTAGATATAAGTCCCTCATTAGACATGTCATTACAAAATACTTTTCCCCAGCCTATTGCTTCTCTTTTTACTCTGTTGGAGATGTTTTTGGATGTACATAAGGATTTGATTCTTGAAAGTTCAAGACAGTATGGTACTGGTACAATGACAGACACATAGATCAATGAAATATAATTGAGAACCGAGAAATCAGCCCATCTACCTATGGACAACTAATTTTTGACAAGGAGATGAAATCACTTAAGTGGGGAAATGACAGCCTTTTAAACAAATGCTGTTGGCAAAATTGGAAAATTATCTGTAGAAAACTCAAGCAAGATCTACACCTTACACCATGCACAAAAACCAAGTCAAAGCAAATTAAGGACTGAGTACTAAAATCAAGGACTATATACTTCATTTGAGAAAAGGTTGGAAGAAGTCTAGAAGCCCTAATCCACAACATGAACAGTCTTCCAAGCATCCTGAAAAACCTACAGCCAGGAGAGGATAAAATAGATGAATGTTTCCATGTTCTTGTGATAGTGAATAAGGCTGCTATAAACATTGGTGTGCAAATCTCAGTTTGTGCCTCAGTTCTCATATTATTAGGGTATAAACCAAATAGTTGAATAGCGGGGTCATATGGAATTTCTATGTTCAGCTTTTTGAGACAGCCAAACTGTCTTCCAGAATGCTTGTACCATTTTACAATTCCACCAACAGTGTACACGAGTTCTTTCTCGCCATATCCTCTCCAACATTTATTACTTGCTGCCCTGTTAAACTTTACCATTGTTACTGGAGTGAGATTGTACCTCACTGTGGTTTTGATTTGCCAGTGATTTGGAACATTTCTTCATGTGACTGTTTGTCATTCAAACATCTTTATCTGTGAAAATTCTTTCCATGTCTTTTGCCAGTTTTGTAATTGCCTTATTAGTCTTTTTCTTGTGGAAGCCCAGGAGTATTCTGTAAACTTTTGTTATATGACTCTTGTCTGAGATGGTATTACCAAATGTTTGTTCCCAGTCTGTAGGTTTTCTTTTCACTCTCTTGGAAAAGGTTTTTGATATGCACAGGGATTTAATCTTTAGAAGGTCCTATGCATCAATTTTATCCTCTTTAGACTGTGTATTTATTTTTTCTTAAATTTTTTATTATTTGTGTGTGTGTGTATGTACCATCAAATCATATCTGACTGGTACAGGAGGAGATTGTTCCTCCTTCTCCAGCAGAGCATCTGGTGGATTTGAACCACACACCTCTGGGATTGCAGTGCAGCTTCTTGCCACTAGGCCACCAGAGCTTGCCATTAGACTGTGTATTTCAAGTTATATTTGGCAGTCTCTTTATACTTTGGACTAGTGTTTTTAAGCTTGACCTCAATTTGTCTCTTATAAACATTATGGTTTTGGACTTTACTCTTAGGTCTCTGATCCACCTTGAGTTGATTTTTATGTATGGTGTGAGATGTGGATTCTGTTTCACCTTTCTGCATGTGGAAGTCCAGTTTTGCCAGCACCATTTGTTAAAGAAGTTATCATTTCATCATTTGATAGCTTTGATTTCCTTGTCAAATATCAGTTGATCATAGATAGCTGGGGCTATTTCTGGGTTCTCAATTCTGTTCATTGGTCTATGTGCCTGTCATTGTACCAGTACCACGATGTTTTTGTTACTACTGCTGTATAGAAGATTTTGAAGTCACGGAGTGCTATGCCTCCCGTTTCGTTTTTGTTTCTCAGAAGTGTTTTGCTTATTCATGTCTCTTACTTCTCCGAATAAATTTGATAATTTCCTTTTCTCCTTGAAAAATGAATTTGGTATCTGGATTGAAATTGCACTGAACATGTAGATTGCTTTTGGAAAAATTGTCAGTTACACCATATTGAGTCTTCCTATCCATGAACAGGGCACGTTTTCCCATTTTTTTAGGTCTTTTATTGTGTCTTGCAGCCATGCTCTGTAGTTTTCTTTGTATAGGTCTTTTGTATCTCTAGCTGGGTTCGCTCTCAAGTATCTCAATTTGTGGTTGGCTATTGTAAATGGTATTTCTTTCTTGATTTTCTACTCTGAGTTCTCTTTGTTATTGCAGAAGAATCCTATTGATTTTTTTATATTTATCTTATATTCTGCCACTCTATTAAACTGGCCTATTAACTCTAAC